TTTAAAATTTGGGTCATTTTTTGTCAGTTCCTCAAATTCATTTTCCGACTTGAATTCTCTCGAGGTGTTCAACTCTTGAAAGCTTTCTAGTAGACCCACCTAAGAGGTCCTCGCCACTTCCAAATCCTCATTACTTAATTACCACTGCACATGCAGTGTACGGCCTCTTTCCTCGCCCTTTTTCCATTTAAAGTATAATTATTTTTCGCAGGCAGCTTTCTAAGGCCGAGCACCACTTGCAACTCGAGTTTCTCCATATATATTTTTTTCAGGGGACACTTTACAACCCCGTCCCCGAATCAGGGCCACTATTATGTCGCAATTGAAACGGGGAATTGATTTTTCGCTCGCCGCTGTGTTTGAGTTTACTTTTTTTGCTGTTTGCTTTCGAAGTGCGATAACTTCCTCTAATTTACAACTGGCTAGGTTAATCCCGGTTTACTGAATGAGTCGACGGATGGGGAAAAAAAAAATAAATAAATATACAGAGAGATGTGTTTGTGTGTTGGAGTAACGTCAGGAATCCATTAAACGCTCCGAACATTCATCGGAAGCTGGCCAATAATTTAGCAGTTAACCTAATAATTTATCCCGGGGAAAAGGGGGCCGCACGATACATCGGAAAATATAGTGAAGACCTCTGGTTGGTAGATAGTAAATCACGGTCGCAGCTATCCTAACGCGAATATATGGCTGTCGAGGGTTATTCCGATTGAAACGTCCGGAGCTGCAAGGGATGCTGCGAAAACATAAACGAAGGGATGTGTTACTACTACTACATTCGCCTCCCAGTTTTTTTTTTTACAACTCTCTCTCTTTTTCACACTCCTTTTTGTTGTTGCACATATATAGATATACGAAACGAAAGGAAGAGAAAGAGAGTTTTCTCGTTTTTATTTTTTCGTTTCTTTTGATATTCTTGTATCTTTATTTTCCGCAAACGGCGACGCCTTATGAATATAAACTCGCGCATTCCGGGTGCCCACATAACCACTATAAGGTGTAGCCTTCGGGGCCAGTATTTATCCGCAAGTAACAGTACAAATGGAATTTCGCTTCCGAGATGGGAATGCAACACCATCCAGGTCACACATAGAAGCAATTTCGTCGAGAACATCACGACGCATTAACAGATTCCTCAATCGTAAACGTTTCAAGGACAATTTACATTTTTTTTTAATCTTCGCACCGTCAACGTCTCTTCAAAATGATAATGGGAACGTTCACATAATAAATTAGAACGTCCACTTTTCATGAAAATAATAGTAATATTTGTATAAAAGATTACTTAAAATATCATTAATTTCATCATAATTCAAGAACAAAAACAATATTATAGAGAAAAATAATGAGCTGTAGAATTTCAGTGTGATTCGATCGAATTCGCATGTTAATCTCTAGCAAGTTTAGCGGAGCGCTAATAAAACTGCGACGGATTAGTAAAAGAAAAGAGCAGAAAGCGGTTTGGTGTGGGTAAAATTGCGGGGTTTCGGATTGACAGCGCGCATAATTTCAGCGAAATTTATAACTGTAATTTCGGGGCAAGCGACATAATGCGGTGGCTTTTAAAACTACAGCAATTAACCCGAACTTAGATTGGACGTCGGTTCCGTGTCTTTCGACATTCGTAATTAATAGCGGCAGCCCGAATTAATAATTCAAAAACTCACCCCTCTCCACCATAGTAGAAGAAAAAAAAACAAGAATCCGCTCACACAAGCAAGAGGAAAAAAATCGAAAGAAAAAATCATCCCCCAAAAAAAAAA